CAAAGCTGGCAAGTAATAACGAATGACAATATTTTTTGTACATCACCCTCACTCTTTTTGGTTCACTTTTGATGGATCTTAAAGAAACACACTTCGCAATAGCATATTTTCTCATTGCTTCTTGAATTGAGTGTGATATATAAATCTAAGTCCAACTTCCCACAAAGGAAATTTACAAGCCTCATCATATGCAGACACTACTCTAATGTTTTCTTTGTATGCTCCACATACTCTGTCATCTTCATTATCTTTATTATCATACTCCCCTGGATCATCTGAATCTAAATAATCACTTTCATGACCTTCCAATTTACCAGTTGTCTCTTTCGCTCTATCTACTTTTACTGCATCATTTTTATAATTATATAATCAGAATTGTCTTCACTATCATTGTCATTAATTGTATCCTCATTACATCTCAATGTTTCCCTAATTGATTTAACTTCTTCATCTACATCAGAAGTTATTTCAACATCAAACAAAAAATTATAAGACTCTTCTGATGTTTCTTCCTCAGTAATACCAACTTCATAGAGATCTTCATCATCATCATTGATAATATCTTCAATTCCAGTAGTTTTTACAGTTTCATTACATACCACATTATTTACATTTTCCATTCCAACATGTTCTTCTTCAAAACTAGTGTCCACAGTGTTAATAGCTTTATCAGTTCTAGCAATTTCCTCTTCAAGACAATTTTCATTAATGTGCATAGTGTCCACACCTTCAGTTATAGCATTCCTGATACATGCATCACAAGAATGACATCAAAGGAAGAAGTAATAACTCTTCCAAATGATCTACTCGTCCAAGCCTTGGAAAAGAAGACCAGAACAACATCATACTTTTGATGACTTTTTGAATGGAATACCTATCATATTTGGTCAACATGTCTTCTATAGATACGACTAGAATTATCTTAGCTTTCTAACAATTCTTGAATTGCATCAATCTGATATCGGAAACTCAAGATATGGCCATTTTAGTGAAGATAGTGCATGCAGAAAATCCTATACGGAATTAATACGGGATTTTGTAAATATTCGAATTTTCAATATTTTTATTGATTATTTGTAATATAATTTAACATAGGATGATGCATTATCTTTTAATATTAGATTTATTATTTTATTAGGAATTAAGGTTGAATTAAAGCATTATTTTTAGTTATTATTATTTTATTAGGAATTAGAGTTAAGACATGTTTAGTTTGTTATTATTTTATTCATTAGTTATTTAGGACCTTTAGAACTCATCCCCTATATAAAGAAGGCTTCATTCAACGTTTTAAAACATATTTCTTTGATTAATAATACAACAAGAGTTCGTTTTTACAAGTGTTGAATTTTCAATATTCTTACTCAATAATACGACTCTAACCAACCCTCCTAGTCGCGTTGAAAAGGAAAATTGGAGTGTGAAGATTAATCTCCCTCACAAGAACTTGAAAGAACTCCAGGAGAAGAAGCTTCGAAGGCACAAGGCAATCCTAGTTGCTTCCGCCACCTTCCCCAATTCATTCCCCTTTGTTCTTCATCGAGTCTAGAGCTTTCTAGGTTTGATTCTTCAACAAGAGCAACGCTTATTAAACCGCTACCGCTTCTCTATCAATTACCCTCAACAATGTCAACATTGTTTTGGCTAGAAGAACAAATACCCTCAGCTACCTCTTTACTTCTTTTAAGAGCTTCACCTACCACATAATTTTTTGTGTGTTCCACATAAAAGTATATTACACCCTTTCTATTCAGAATCCCTAAACATTGCCTAACCGATTCATCATCTACCACTATCACCAATGTATTACTATTAAATGTAACATATGGTACCTTATAGTACAACCATGAATTATAGACATACCATTAATCCTTCATATTCCCAATTAAATCTCAATAACACAATATATCTCAATCAACTTGAAACTTTTCAACTTTTCCATCAACATACTCAAATTTAGGTGAACCTACAAATTTACCTTCATGATAATACTGTAACACAAAAATTTCTGGTTCAATACCTATCTTGTAACACAACAACCCCGATGTTAATAAACACATTAACAATTTACTAATAGCATCAAGTTTTAATTATCTTAAATTAAATTAGTAAACAAAGAAAAACAAGAAATCTTTGCATTTTTCAAATGGAAAAGCATGGGGATTGTGACAGGAATCTAAGTCCATTTTCAATGCTTTTTAGGTCAAAAGCATGAGACCATGACAAGAAAAAGAATGAAAAAAACAAATGGCCATGGAAAATTTTGTGTGAAAGTGTATATCAATCAAAATAGGACAAAAAGATTTTGTTGGTGTTCGATTAAAAAATTTGAACATATAAAATTATCTCAAATCAACAAAACCTCAACCCAAAACATTGAAATACTACTTAAAACCCTAAAACTTATCGCTTGTTGGTTACTCTAACACAAACCTCAAACTTTTTATCTCGATTATTCACGAATTTACTTTCTCTCTCTTGCTTGGCTTTCAAGTTTTTGGCAAATGTCTTGCTTTCGGAATGTATTCAGATGTAGATTTTAGGGTATTGGTCTAATTTTGGGAGAGTATTCAATCGTGTTTTTTTAGGTTGAAGATCGATTTTGGAGTATTCAATTGTGATTTTGCGAATTTGTTTTCCCTCTTCTTGTTTTTAGGGATTAAGAATAAAATTAGGGTTTTGTTTTTTTACACCTGTGTAATTCTTTACTTTTTTTTGTTAATGCCATGTCACTCGGTTTACACATAAGCAAAGTTATCTTAGGTGGAAACAGCTGGTGTCCACATTAGTAGTTTTGTTAGTCAAGACGGTCAAAGGCAGACATTGATGAAATTAAACAACTTCGAGGGCAAAATTGATGAGAAAATACGATAGAGGCGAAATTGATAAATTTGATATACTTCAAGGACATCTGTGACCCTTAAGCCTTTATAAAAAAACACTAAACCCAAAATAAGAAAACAAAACCAAAAACTACATCATTTTACCTAAACCCTAAAACAAACCTAAACCTTGAATCATCTTAAACCCTAAAACAAAAACCTAAACCCTAAAAGTTCTAAACCATCCTAAAATCGAACACCTAATTCACTAACCTAAAAAAAAGACCGGAAATGATATTATAGTCTGAAAAGTGATTTCCAACAAATGTGTCTTTCATAAATATTATCACTATGTGAAAGGCGCAAGAAAACGTCTTCTACAAAATACCACTAACGAACCTACCCTAACTAAATGTGTGACATTTCGAGAAATAAAAAAAATGTGTTAGTTCAATAATAAGATTCTTTCCGTACATTTAGGTAAAAATGCCCATTTATTCTATTATGACTTTTTGTTTTAAATTTTACTTGGGCAAATATATAGTGTGACATTTGAATATAGCTTCAAGATGTAACTTGATATCTATTGTTTTCAATTAGATAGTTAAACTTTACTTTAAGATTTAATTTAATATCTAATTTTTTTTATTAAATTCGGTACTTGAACTTAGTTTTTTAGTTTAAATTCGTATCTAAAATTAAATTTATGATCCAAATTTGTTTAAAATGACTCATCCAATATAAGTATCAATTTGAATTAAAAAAAATAAAAATTTGATACATATTTATATCAATAAGTCAAATTTACGTATCTAATTAGACAAGAAAAAAATTGAATACCAAATTGCACATTGAAATAAAGTTTAAGTACCAAAATACATTTTTTACCCATTATTTTTTGTATTTACCGAGAGAGAGTAAAATATTATGAAAAGAAATTTACATTTAAATTAATAACTAATGCACGAACCACACAATCTAAGTGGTTAAGGGACTCGTTGTTATTTATTGAGGTTCTAGGTTCGAGCATCGTAATCGTATGGGGCATGTACATTTCTTGTCAAATTGTCTAGAGTACTTGAACATATAATTCCTTGTATTTATGACAAATTTATCAAAAAAAAATTAGAGTCTAATATTATTTGATGATTCAAATTTATTCAAATAAATTATTAACATATGTGAACAAATACTTCCTTGTATTTATGCCAAATTTATCAAAAAAATAGCATCTAAGATTATTTGATGATTCAAATTTATTCAAATAAATTATTTAACATAAGTATTAATTTGAACTCACAAAATAAAATATTGTTATCAATAAATCAAATTGAACTTTAAAATTAAATTCTTAAATAAAAAAAAAGTTAAACATCAATTTATGCCTAAAAGTAAAATACATATTTACCTATTTTATTTTATAGTTAACAATAGAGGGTAAAATGTTACGAATAGAAATTTATTATTTTTGAACTTCATTATGTTTGGTTATCAGAATGCTTTTCTTTTTTATAATCCAAAACGAGAAGATAAAATAATAAAACAGAATGAAAATAAGTATTTTTTCCCAAAAATCATATAGAATATAAAAAAGTGTGCGCGATCTAAATGAAATAAACGACATCGTTTTAATGAAAGACAAATGGAGATACGATACGGCACCATTTTCCGAAGGATGACGTTATCGTTGAAAGATAAAAATGATACGACAACGTTCTCATACAGTAAAAACTTCCCATGCAGGTTTCGCACCTGTAACCTTCAGGTTATTAGCACAACGTTCTAACCAACTAAGCTACTAGGCCATTAATCAGTTTATCCTACTTTTTTTATTCTATTTAAAAGGAAATAATACAACTTTTAGTCCTTAATAAACTTTCCTAAAACAATATAAGAGTACCACATTATCAATATGTTTCAATTTACACAAATCGAGATTAGCAATAATGAAACTGAATTTGAGTTTCTTCCAAGTTAGAACTTCAATAGTCTTCATTTGTAAGCAAAAATGTCAGGTTAACGGTTCCACTTTCCATACTAGAAAGTTTATCTTCATCTCCTGCCTAGGCTTGAGTTAATTAAGAGTTAAAAAATGGAAATAATTCTCCTCAATCTTTTTTCAATGGATCTGGTTACATTTTAAAACCTTCAACGATTACATAAGGAGGAAAGGTACAACGTTCATCAACAAACCAAATGCTAATGGCATCCAAATTCTACAACCGTGCCGGTGAACAATAATCCACGCATAAATAAGGGTAACCATAAGGAAATCCATCCGCCGGAAAAGTACCTAGGCTCCCCATGCTACACGTCCCGGTTGCTCCTCTTTAGATCCTCGTTTTCATTTCTAATATAATTGATTCTTGACCGTAGAATGCTGATCATAGTTTGAGCACTCATCATTTCGAGCTTCAATATATCCCTCTCCTTGGCATTTTTGTGGACCTCGTTTTGCAATTCCTTGATAAGTTCCATGCAGCCCGGAGGAATTACGGATTCTAGACTACTCGTGACGAATTTTGGTGGAGGAACACAAGGATTCTCTTTTGGTTCGATAGAATCTATCAACGAAAATTCCAAGAGTGCAGAAATTGCCCTTTTTTTGGCAGATGATGGAGACATTGTGGTTGTGTTAGCTGCTGCCATTGTTGTTGTAGGTGAGCAACAACCCTGAGTCATTCCAGTAGAATTCTCAGAAATATTTGCATGGTAATTCGGACCTGAATTGTCATCCCGCCTTCTCTTGTATTGGAATATAGGTAAGGGTGATTCTCGATTATGAATGCATAGCCGCAGGCAATCATGTGACCTGTCAATCTTGCATGGAGGTAACAAAATACGGTCATCCGTTCTCTCATTTGGCGAGTCTCTTGGTACTTCATCACTAGGCGGAGTATCCCCATCCAGATACTGAATGTCTTGCCATCATAAAACAGAGTTCAGAAGTAATTCTTAAATCAAGACCAAAGAATAAAATGAGGCACATCACATTTGGTTAAAATATAACAGCAGAACCTGAAATATAAGCAGAGCATTAAAAACCATACAGATAACTAAATCAATAAAGGTGTCTATCTTACGTTACTCGGACATTAGTTAGCCAGATATCGGTGTGTTTTTTAAACACACATGTTCTATTGTTTCTAAGCTTCTCCATTTAGAGGGTCCTTAGACCGTCATGACATCCAGTGTTCATATTTGTAGATATTCTGGAAGGGAATCAAAAGTTACTAGTCAGGCCTGAGGTTTTTCATTTTTTGAATTACCCATGTCCGAGACCCATGTTTGAAACGTACCCTAACATTGGTATAGGGTTATAATCCTCCAAGGGCCTTCCAAATACATGAAAATCTTGAAAAAATTTGAACATGGCCACGTTGAACGCATCATCTCACACCAAGTAACAGAGCCATAAAGTGCCCTTATGGAAATATAAAACTTGCTTTTATAAAATTATCCTTGTAAATCAGAGCTTAGCAGGCTCAAGTAAAAGGATAAATGAAACAGTTCTTGGGCAGGGAATCATCCATTCAATGAAAATGTCAAATAGGTACAGAAATGTTCAGTTATGTGTTTAGAGTTTAGGAAAATATTGAATTGTTACATAAGCATCTGCGGAAAAGTTCAATCTTATAATAATGTTGTGGCAAGAAAGATAAAGCACAAACCTGCTCGGAACAGATCCTTTGAACACCGTTGCTTCCAATCACTGCATTCTCAACAGCTTCCACATCACTACCGGCTATCGAATCATTAATAGAAGCAACATCATCCTTGGTGTCTACTCCGGGAATCAAAGTGGCTGAATCATCATCCCATTCAGCCTCAATGAAAGGTGCATATCGGTTTCCATTTGGTGGTCCGATATTATTTTTATGTATAACTCTACATACCACATAACCCTAAACCGCCAAAAAGAGGTGAGGGAAATCTTATAAGTTTCTGATGGTAAAATCGAACATTTTGGTCGTAGAGAAAATTGTAGGACTTACTAAGCATAAGGTTTTAAAATACTAATAAACCATGGAAAAAGAGAAAACTAATAACCCTACAGAATAACCTTCGGAATTGTCTTTCCATATATGTGGAGGGTCTTTAGAGAGCTACATCTAACATGGGGTGTTGGACACAAGTACTTCAAAAAGAAAAGAAAAATCGGAGTAACACGGAGTACACGTATAGCTAACTGTACCAAAAAAACATCATAACATATGACAACAGGAATCACATTTAGTATTCTTTCCCTAAATTTTCACAGAAAAACGGACTGCAATAAAACAAAGGTAGCAGAGATATAATCAACTCAAACTCGTATTTTTTCATCGTCTCTAATAAATCATATTTTTTCCACACAGGAAAATGTGTAACAAACTCGGGTCCATTCTTCAGTATAATCAGATCACTGCAGCGTAACCCAATACCTAAGGCACAAGCTACTAAGTATTTCACGTTAAAATTCTATTATGGTTTAGGATTTCGGTCGGTCAGACACAAGGCAGCGGTTAATGTACACAAAAGTGTAATCCGTAACATCAACACTTGGAATGATACATAACAGATCATTCAACATCAATCTCAATTCAAATATGCAATGCTCTAATTTTTACCTAGTATTTCATGCTGAAATTCTATATCTTTTGTCATCCAAAATACAGCTGAAATGCGGTGCAATAGCTAGAATACATAAAAACTTAATCCAGAAACATTCACCATTAGTATCAATTTAAATAGCTTCAAACCTGCAATGCTCCAATCCTTTCCAATTCTTCTTCAACAAGCCGGTACTCATGCATTACCCAATTAGTTCGCAATCCTTCCGGAGCTTTCCCAGTATGGAAGACTAACGTCTTCTTCATCCCAATAAGCTGTGAATTGTGACGGACCTCTCGATCCTTACCCGTCGCCTTCCAATATCCTTGGTTTGTAGCCCTATTCATTCTTCCCCCATTGACATACTTCTTATCCAATGAACTGAAGAAATACCATTCATTGTCTCTGGTTTTCAATCTTGACTTGTCTGAAAAACAGTCACCAACAACAAACTTTAGCCGCATAAATTGAAAATAAACTAAAACTGTCATGACCTACAGAGTAATGGTAATAGAAAAGTGGTTACACAGGCCAGCAGAAAAATAATATAAAAGCCACTATTTTCATAGAATTTTCCTTGATTATTAATTTTTTATTATATTTCTAAAATTATATATATATTTAAAAAAATGATGTATTTAGCCCAGTAGATAAATAAAGTAAAAAAGATATTGTCAAAATTCCAGTTCAGAAATCCCAAAAAGATGTATTTTCAGAACTAGACTATACAAAAAATGAAAAAAAAAATTGAATATAAACTTCTAATTCTAAAAGCCCATTTAACTATATGTATAATAAAACTAAAATTAAAAAGATTAAAAGTTCAACCTGAAAGATTGCAAGGTTCATGTTTGTAAATATCAACTTCGGCAATAGCATTAAACCTGACGGGCTTGTTCAGGACTTTTCTTCTCAAATAATAGCTCACCAATTCTTCATCTGTTGGGTGGAATCTAAACCCAGGTGCTAAAACAGTCATTGAACTGCCAGTCTTGACCGCCGCCGTTGATCCTGGATCTGCAGTAAAAGAAATTTCACGATCCATAGAGATAATCGTTTGGGAAAACGAAAAATAAAAAATAGGAACTTTCCTTGGGTGAGAGAAAGAATTGAAATCAAGAAATTAATATCGAGTTTTCTTGATTGATGATGAAGAAACAAAGTTGCTTCGATTGCAAGAAATTTCACTATTTTTAATTTGTTTTGTTTCGTTTTAGCGACTACAATATTTTATTCAGCCAAAGCGTGTAAAATAATTTATCATTTATTGTTAGGGTAAACTACACCATTTGCTACTGAACTTTAGTAAGTTTCTCATTTATACCAATAAACTTTTAGTTTTCTAATAATGATAGTAACCTTTGGTTTTGACTTCAATTATACCATTGGATCATTAAGTTTAATGACACGATTGCATGAATAAATCTTTCTATCACTGTGAATACATGGATAAAATGACGTAATTTTGGCGCAATTATTGATGTCCAAAATAACATTGTTTTAGGTACTATACTTTAGGCGTGTAGTCAATTGCGTTGTAGTTAATTGCGTCCATCAGTAATTGTCTTTTGCAATAAGACATCCGCTTTTAATTTCTTTCTTTTTTCTCCTAGGATTAGTTTTCCACATAAACCTACTAAAAATTGATGAAAATCCATAAGGTTCGACGTGCTAATACAATGATGATTGTCCAATGAGACTAGTTTTAAGATATGTTGTTAGTTTTCTCGAAATAATGCTTCTCACCATTCGTATTTTTGAACAAACACTATAAACCCCTCAAATCTAAGAAAGTCCCCAAATGCCTAAAAATAATGGAGTTTTTGTTTAATTTTATTTAAAAGGTTTTCATGGAAAATCAAACATAATGGAAAAAAAGATGAGTAAAATATCACATTTTGGTATTTATTTTATCGTGAAAGATGACCAGTGATGGTGGTGATTGCCTGTATCAAATTCATATTATATTATAATAAATCATACAATTTGTTTTGGTACAAGTCTCCAAATTATTCATGCAATTTGTTTTGGATATTCAATTTTTTTTAAAAAATCATAACTAAAGTTACTTTTTGATCATAGGTCATTAAAATATTGACATGACATTTTTTTTGTTTTTTTAAGATGTGATATCATAATTAATTTTTTTAACCATACGTGCCAAAAAATGACTTTAGGTGTGATTTTAGAAAAAATAATTGAGTGACCAAAGTAAAAATATGAGCATAGTTGAATGACTAAATAGGTAATTTACATTTTATTCTAAGTAACGGGATTTTTTTTTTTTTTTTTTTTGAAATTAAGCCATAAGTAACTATAGCAGAAATGCATGGAGGGGGCACATGTTCAAAATATAAAGGTAGAGAAATAAGTGAAACAAAATTAGTCAAAGCATGTGCCACATCATTCGTCTCTCACCCAGTGTAGGAAACAGTGACCAAAGGATGGTTCGTCAATTACTGCACCAATTTGAAAGCATCACTTTCGACCACCACACTCGGGTGAGAACTTCACATATTAATATTGTTTTTCAATCTATATTCAAGTGGATTTCAATTTTTTTTTTGGGTTTTAACTTTATATTAATCCATCATTTGGTGGGTCATGACGGATTTAGTTTGATAATCAAATACCGTTATAAATTAAAGATATTAATATCGACTAGTTTAAAAATAATAATAAACGAATGAAGAATAATAGTATTAAAAAATAATTATAAGTATATGCTGATGTAATCTCGACAGTGGACATTATACTATGTAAAGTTAACAAAATTTTTCAAATTGACGTGAAATTCTTAATAATATTGTTATTTTCTCGAAATGAAAAAACAAAAGGATGAGTAAAAAAAGGTCAAGGAAATATCTGTAGAAAATTCCTCAAAAATAATAATGCGATGGGAACCCAAGAAAACATGCACCCATTCATATTAATACGGACATAGATCAAACCAAACAAGACATATAGCAATAGCACATGCATACATAGACTTCATTCTTTCTTACTCATAAAGAAAAAGGTTGTGTCTCACCAATGGAAGATAAAAAGTATGAGAATGGGGAAGAATGAAGAGTACTACGAACCAAGAATACTGTAACATTAGATATTTAAATCGAAACTAATGGTGAATGATATCATGTTGTTTCTATTAGTAGATGTTTTTGGATTAAGTTGTTACGTATGCTAGCTATTGTACCATATTTTTTTTATTGGAATGACTCAGGGTCGTTGCTCACCTACAACAACAATGGCAGCAGCTATAACCACCACAATGTCCCCCATTGAGTCGGGCCGGCTCCAACACCTGTGCCACCTGGGCTTTAGCCTAGGGCAACAATATTTGAGGGGCATCAGTTTTGCACATATATTTGGCCATATTCTTGGCTCCACAAAGGAGCATTGTCTTGCAGCACTGAACTCTGTAAAGGATTACCCACCTCCAGGTTTCTTTCTCTCTTTCTAGCTTTTATTTTTTTAAAAACATAATCGTTGGGTTTTCGTTGGAGTTTTTGGACAAAATGAGTTAATGGGTATTCTTTGGATGATGTTACTAGCCTGAAAAAAAGTTGCATTCTTTTTCTTTGGGAGAAAAGTATTGAGATTACATCAATCTGGGTTATTTGGGTGATGGGTTATTCTTTTTGAATATTCAAAAGCATGCCTCTTTTGTTTTCTTTATTTACATCAATGGTTTTTAATTTCTATTTGCATTTCTTTATTCAAGGAAGTTAAGGTAAAATAAAAAGAGAAAATAATTTCAGTGATCGAAAATGCCTTATAATATACAATTTTAACCAACTTTTTTTGGATTTGCGAAAATGACTAACAAATTCGCAACACGAAGTCCAATTTCGCAACGCGAATAGTTAAATCGCAACGATAATATGTAAATCGCAAGGCGAATATGTAAATTGCAACACTAATTTGTAAATCGCAACACATAAGTCAAATTCGCAACACAAAAGTCAAATTCGCAAAGCGCGTTTATTTTTGCAACGCGAATTTTATTTTCGAATTCGAAACACAATATTAATTTCGCAACACAAATGTAAACAGTATAATCGCAAATCATAACCTAAAACCCTAAATCATAACTCAATCCCATCTCCATCTCTCACTCTCTACGGTGACATCCGTCCCCATCTCCGGCGAAATCCGTCCACATATCCGGCGACTCCCCTCTATCTCCATCTCTCAGAGCCACCCTCACAACCATTCACGGCCACAAATGGAAAATCAACCACCGAGGGTTAGTTTTTTTAATTATTTTTATTTTGAAATTTTTGTATTATTATTAGATTTTTCATATTTAAATTGATGATAAATGTACTGGTAATTTCAATAATAGATTAACCATTTCACTTAGATTGCTTTGTAAATTCATTCGGTTTTGTCTTTAACCTTGTGAAGTTAGTATTTGCCTTTGTTTTGTCTTTTGGTTGAAGTAATGCAATTCATTCAAGTTTCAATTTGCAGAAGAATAGTTTTTGAAACTTAAATTCGCAACACGAAAATGAAAATCGCAACGCGAAAATGAAAATCGCAACGTTGCGAAAATGAAATTTGCGTTGCGATTTTCATTTTCGCGTTGCGATTTTAAGTTTCAGAAACTACTATTCTTCTGCAAATTGAAACTTGAATGAATTGCGTTACTTCAACCAAAAAACAAAGACAAATACTAACTTCACAGTGTTGCAAATTTAAGTTTCAAGAATAAACTACTACTCTTTATATTGTCCTTGAACCTGCACTAAACCTATATGTTGTCCTTTTAAATGTTTATATAAGTGCTTACTTCTGGAATGTTATCTGATGCATTTTGTGAACTATGATAGAATAATGACTTGGGTGAATACCGTGCTAGTTTGAAACATATTTGGCTTTGTTTTCACTATTTAATATCATGTCTGTTTATAGTGTATGTTTTTGGTATATCTAACTTGGTATGTTATTATTTTTTTGTTAGGAATTTTTTTCGGCTTCATTTACTCTAAGGAATAAATTAAGCATAGCCGCTACAATTACTAAGACACTTACACCTGTACAAAGAAAATTGTTTGAGGATACTTACTTCGGGCCATGGCTGAAAGTACAACATCCAGGTGGAGATGCTATGTTGACCCATTTGTTTCTTCAGACCATGACTAACGATCTACCCGAGAGGATACAACGTGGTGATGAAGAGATATGGTTTCATTTTCCACCGGCGTATACTTGTTTTGGGCAGGAGGAGTTTTGCTTAATCACTGGTCTACGTTTTGGACACGATGAAGTAGGTCGGTACACTAGTCATATCGCCCACCCATCATGGTTATCTCGGGTTTTTCTTGAGCTGGCAAAGGCGAAGCCCAATTTACACGTCGACGACTTGAAAAAATTACTTCTTAAAGATGGTTTTACTCGGATGGATGACCTCGATGTTGTCCGAGTATGCCTTTTATTACTTTTGTATGCCGGTTTTTTAGGCAAAGAGGCCAGACAACCTATTTCTGAGGACCTAATATTATTAGTAGAGGACTTAAATGCATGGAACGTGTTTCCGTGGGGTTCATATCTATGGAAAGCTACCTGGAAAAAGTTGTAGTCTGCCTTTGAGGACCGAAAAAGTTTGTGTGGCCATGGTTCCAAATACACTTTGGCATGCTTTATTTGGGCTTTTAAGGTAAGAATTTCTATATAAATTATAATTAATTATTTAACAATTACTAATGTTTGTGTATTATATTATTTGTAGATTTGGATATTTGAGGCTTTTCCCAGTATGCAGACATATGCAATCAAAAAGTCAAATGATATTCCTAGGGCTATTTCCTGGATGAGGATGCGGCGGTTGAATTGGGAAGAGTTACTACCATATACGATGATGAATGATGTAAGTTAACACAAATACTACCATATATAAACAACTTATTACTAGTAGACGTTTAACTTTGTTTGAGCTTTTATATTGTTAGGAGGCCAATTATCCATTACAGAGGCTGACACCCATAGAGGCTGAGCTTGCCACTGATTGGTGGCAAGCTAGTAAGCATTTTTTTGATGGCACGGATGATGATCACCCCCCACTTTGAGAGCCATCACCTGATCGAGCCGATTTTATAGCTCGACACCCAGAGCCATCACCTCCACAACGAGAGCCATCACCTATTCCATCACATCATCGAGCCTCTTCTCCACCATCACCTCATGATAGGCGACCGGTAAAGATGCCAT